TTCCCAGTTTTTTCTTGTTGTTAAGACACACTGGCAGAATTTTAATCTTTTTAAGTGCCATGCCAGAAACTAGAAGTCTTTGATATTCAACTACTAAGTGTACAGTTCACACATGCAAACAGATAATTGCAGATTTACAACCAAAGTTGTGACACTAACAAGTTCCCATTTTGTTCTCAACTTTGTGTCTTTTGAAAGGACAAAATTAAGCCATTTACAAATGTAACAGAGTTAGAGCAGCCCACAAAATGTGTGCTCTTAATTAAGCATAATTAGGATGTCCTACAATATAAGTTTGAGTTTTTTTTAATCACATTTTTGAAACGACAAGGATGGTTTTTCTTATCAAATGCAAATGTATACCTGACTCCTTGTGCACAATGGACTTTAGTGTCCCTCTGAAAGAAAGATGGCATAAAAGTGAGCTTCATGAATGAAAAAGAAAATCATTTCTCTTGAGAGTTAATGATGCCAAAAGCTACACTTTCCTAAGAGAGAAAAAATATTCAAATTACAATTTTATCTTCAAAGAGATCACCAAATGTCTTTAATAAATGAATGTTGAATTTCTATATTTGAATTGTAAATTTTTAATAACAACGGGCCTTTGAAAATTTCAGTGTATTTTAGAAGCATTGAGTGCTGAGCTTTCTTTTTCAGTATGTACATTTATGAACCATACTGAAGTTAAGTGATGAACTATCCAGCAATAGGTGTTTAATTATACCAATAAGAAGCCAGTTTCAGATTACAGGTGGAAATAAACAGAGGTTCTGAATGACAGAAGAGTCTGAAGCTTACATGTACAAGGAAAGACAAAAACCTAGTTCCAGAAGATATTTTATAGACCATTCTTCTCTGTGATGAGTCCTCCCTAGTATATAATTATTATATAGTACATGATGTTAATATTCATCCACTTTCTTTCCTGATATGTTCTAATATTTTCTGTGAGCATTCATTTTAAAGCATCATCTTGACTGGAATATAGTTATGGGAATGAACTCAAATTTAAACATTTACTTTCTAAAACAGTGGTTCTCAACCTTCTGGCCCTTTAAATACAGTTCCTTCTGTTGTGACCCAACCATAAAATTATTTTCGTTACTACTTCATAACTGTAATGTTGCTACTGTTATGAATCGTAATGTAAATATCTGATATACAGGATGGTCTTAAGCGACCCCTGTGAAAGGGTCGTTCAACCGCCAAAGGGGTCGCGACCCACAGGTTGAGAACTGCTGTTCTAAAATGTTCAGAAATCTTAATTAGCAGTTGACTATCATAACTACATCTCAGTTAGTTAGTAGAACTTGCAGGAACCATTAACTGTAGACAAGTCTCAGTCAATATGTGGACTATATGCATCTCGGGAAATTTCCTGTACCTGATTCAAAATTGAAGAAAAGAACTTGATAGCATGTTAAAAGGTTGCATTTTAGATAAATATATTTTTCCAGAAAATTACAACTCCTTGACTATCATGTCTTGGCATCCACTGATTTGAGTTGGGAAACTTGCTAAGCATGGAGGTAAAAAAGGAGATTACTTCTTACTTCAAGGATTCCAACTTTCTGGCAGAAATCTCAAGAACACTTCTCTTAGCTCTATCTCTAAGCAAGGCTGTTTGCTAACATTTCTTCTCTCTCTCATTTTTTTTTTTTTTTTTTTTTTTTTTTTTTTACCTTTTACATCAATATCAATATACTCTACCATTTCACCCTCTCTGGTCTTAGGGTATAAATCAAGATCTGTAAAATTATTTAATAAAGGAATTTAATTGCCCTGGAAGTAAAGGTAGCTTTTCTCTCTTGAAAGCCAGGGAAAGATGGTGGCACTTAAACTCCTATAGAGGGTTTTTAAAAAAACCCACAGTAAAAACAAAATGTAAACACTTAAAGTTAATTCATCTGGACTTTTATTTTCCTTCAAAATTTACTGATTGAAATGTATAAAATATATATGGGTGTATTCAAAACAATGAAATGCTGTAATCAGATGTGGTTTGAGCTTTGGCATTTTATATTTGTATCTTTTGGAAAGACTTTCTGTAGTACTCTCTGGTATTTTGGTATGGACCCAAGAGATATTATGGTTCATATGTTCATCTATAATCACCTAAAAGAAAGCCAAGTATTGTCTCAAAATCAAGCTAAGCTGTGTTTTCTTACCAAACCTTTTTATGTGTGGACATGGAGAGCTCAGCTAGACCACCCAAGTTAAAATTAAAGCTTCAATATCAAGAGGAGAATCTCCTTAAACTTATTTTTAAATGTTAATTTATGTTAATTTCCATTGTTTGTCTGCTTCTGTAGGTTTACAATGTTAGTGTGCTGTTACAGCTTTTGTTGGGTGCATATTGTCTGACTTAAAAACAGAACCAGTAATGTGATCTTTTATGACAAAGGCAGCCTAATATCTATATGTTGTATTACATATTTTCATCACATACAGTGACTACTTTATGCCTAATTGGACATTTTTAGTGTTTGCATTTTTCCATTTTTTTAATTAGGTAGAAATGTGTTACTAAAAATAGAGACGAATTCACATAGAGAGCTGGTCTTTGTGTTTGTATGTCTTCTATAGTAATGAGGTCACCTGGCTTCTTTCCTAGTTCTGACATCACATCTGTGTGACTTCGGATAAGTCATTTTCCTCCCGGAGCCAATGTTTTCTAATAGCTATAATGAGTTGGTAATTTTATCTCTTTTAGGATTATGAGAAGAAAATGGGGTGAGGGAGATATAGAAAGTACACAATAAAATGAATGCAAATGAAAATAAACATTGTATAAGAGCTTCAGCCAGAGAATTCGGAAAGACCTTGAGAGACATATGAGCTGCTAGAAGGCACACCTGAATGGATGTCAAGTTAGCATAGAGCCAATTATTTTGGGGGGAAAAAAATAAAGGCAGGGAACCTGTTGCAAAACTCCACAGAAAACATTGTATTTCATATGAATGGTGGTTCCTGGAGCTCTGAAATACTCATGATGTTTTCTTGTGGGTGATGCCATCTACTTACTCAGAATAAAGGATTATTGGTTTTGTCACTGGGAGTGGGACCACTGGCAGAGACTGGAAGCTCTTATAAACACACGTATTGAGTTCTATCGTGTCACTATAAGCAAACAGCAGGCCTATAAGCTTAAGCTAGTGAGATAAATAATAGATCAAGCAATTTAACAAGATATTGTGGCATTTGGGAATTTAGTCAGTACAAACTGATTGATATTTGCAGAAATTCTCTAGACACTAATTCTCTCTCTATGATTTTTGTATCAGTTTTTTTGTTGTTGTTTTTTTGCTATTAAATCTACCCTGATCAAGACCTAATTCATCCCAAACAAATATCCTGAGTGGAAGTTTGAAGCAAAGAGGGGAAATAAAAAGGAGCTTACTAAGTGTAGGTTCATTAAGACATTAATGGTTTGAAAATTCGTCTCAAGTTCTATCTATTGAACAAGAACCATTTTCATCACCATGCTTATACCTCATCTGAAGCATTTTTCTCCATTACATCTCATAATCATGATGGTTCAATAAATGATCCATATTTTGTCACTATTTGCCAAGAAAAATCTTTCCAGAAACTACTTGTACTATTTTGTCAAAGATGAATAACAGCTAGGTGGCACTAGAGACAGTGGAGGTAAGAGAAGCTATTAATTCAGCCACATCTTATAAATGAATATTAGTTATTTTGTGTAAAAAAAAAAAAAAAAAAAAAAAAAAAAAAAAAAAAACAAGAAGAAGATGGAACTATAAAATGTCTTATTCCAATATTTGGAAATAAGGCTAAAGTTTGAGCCCTTACTTGACCTGAGATGGCATAACTGTGTCTCACAGATATTGTCTGAGATACACAATGCCAGAACAGAAGGAAACCCATTGCCTTTAATCCACTGCTCCGTGCTGGGGTGTGAGTAGCAGGTTGCAATCATCCTAATTCTCCTATCTGTTGAGCTAATTAGAATGGAGAAATGTCCATCTCAAGCACAAGCAAACAGAACATTCAGGATGTTCCTCTATAGGCATTAAGTAAATATGTCAACCTATTTTATAGTGCCATAAATCTAAAACCCTTGCATATTTTATATGTTTGACCTTTCTCTTGCTAAAGAAAATAATCCAGTGGTTCTCAACCAAAGATTTTTATTCCCACCCTAACTCCCAGGGATAGTTGACAACATCTAAAGACATTTTGGGTTGTCATGACTGGGAGCAGAGGGACAATTGACCTGTAGTGTGTAGAAGCCAGGGATGCTGTTAAACATTTCACAGAACACAAGAGGATCTCCACAACAAAGAACTATTCAGCCCCAAATGTCACTAATAGCAAGGTTAAGTCTCTTGACCTGAGCCTACTCTTTCTCTATGATGTAAGAGGGATATACTCACTCTGATCTTCTCAGGGTCAGGGGTTCAAAAGAATGTGAAACAATAATATGTTGAGGCACTTCACAAAGATGCTTGAGTGAACACCGCCCTTCCGATGGCGTGGCATTTCACAAATATAAAAGGTGGTCACTTGTCTCTCAGAGAATAAAATACAGCCTTAGGAGATGATAATTTGATTGTTCTAGAGGTCATCTCTTTGAAAAGAAACAAATATATGCTTTGTAATAACCAGTGTATTTAGCAAATTCATAAACATAACAGAACAGTAAAAAATAATACCTTCCACCTATTATCTATTTCACATCTAAGCATTTTCTAAAAACAAAAGTAAGAAGGGTTTGCTTTCAGTTGGTAACTAACTATGTTATCTTAGGACTTCTGGCAACACTAGGATCCTTTGAACCACAATCAAACAGCTTAATTTATCTTACATTTAAAAATTTCGGTTAAGAGTAGGTATTAAGCATTTTGCAATTGTTTTGGGAATTTTAAAGGTTATTAAGTTCTGAATAACAGAGTCCCTCATGTTTTCCCACCAAACTTTTCCCAGCAGTGAATATATCTGGATCTTATTCTGGTTTTTTATTCTTTTTTTAGCTTCCTGAAATGACTCATGTTCAAACGCGGCGACCCTGGTTGATGTTTCTCCTGCAGAATTTTGGATTGACCCTAGGTTGGCTTTCTCTGTTACTCTTGGCTATATATGAACAAAATATTAAAATATAAGTTAAAAGCCTCAAAATCCTTCAAAAGTGAATTTATATGGTCTCATTTTTGTTCCCTTTGTTGTACTCTATAGTGACTTGTAAATTAAGTATTTTTACCTTAGTGAAGTATGTCTTTTAGTTCATTAACTTATTAATTTTATAATGCAATTTTGTGTTTGTAGTATAAACATGTCAGGTTGTCCTTAATAAAAATTTTGTTTTCAGTCTACAACATCATGGAAATCATACCTTTTTTAGTTATTAGTAAATTCTAAATTAATTTTGGTAAACTTTTGAAAATATCATTTTCTTAATAAAAAAATGTTTGTTGGTAATATGTGAAGTGAACAGATGCCTGTTGGGATAAAATTTGCTACAACTTCCTTGATGTCAAAAATATTTTTTTTCCTGTGCGATTATAACCATAAGCAAACTAAATTCCAAATAAATGTAATAAAATTTAGTTTGAATGTGATGGTTTGTATTACCTTCTGTTACTGGATGTCGGATTCAGAATCAACTCTCACAAAAGCAATATAGTATCGTTCACCTGGAAGCTTGTCTCACCAGCTCATAAATGCTTATAAACAGGCAGACTTGGGAAGCCTGAAGGGTACTATGTTAGCATTCTTCTATATAATCACCAAATGAAATCTGCTCCAGGCAAGATAAAGCTCAAAACTTTTAAAAATAACAAAGCTTAAGTCAGGCAGTAGATTAATGTGTCAGCTCACACAGATTTAACAGGGCATGTTTATAGGAATAATATTACTGACAAGTGAGATGTATTTTATATTCTTTCTGAGGAAACAGACCCCTAAACCTTATTTGAGTAGGTAGTTCATGAAATATACAAGCAACATAACTAATAACCTAGCAAAATTATTAAAATAGAAAATAGTCCCGGCTTTAGTCATTTTTCTTGGAAAAGAGTTGCCTAATATTTTTCTTATTTTTTTTCATAATATATATGGACAAGGGAAAAAGCCCATTTTACTGCCCAAATGACTCATGGCACTCAATCAAACTCATCTCCACCACCTCTTACTCACCAGGAGGTAGATACCTTTGCCAGGTCCCACCCAAGCATAGCCTTTTTCAACCACTTTTATTTGTTTTTAAAATGAGGTGGGTTTCTCCTTCAGTTGTTTGTAGAGATTGATTTAAGGGGGCATCATGATAAATGTAATAGTCCTCAGATGTTGACATACATTAGGATTAACTGGTGGATTTATTAAAATACAGACTTTTGGCATCCCTCCTGAGAGATTCTGATTCTCTAAGTCCTGGTGGGGGAGGGGGTCGAGACTGATTTTGAACAACTTTCCAGCGATACTAACGCTGATGCTGCGGGTCAGGGCACCCCTCTGAGCTCCACAGCAGTGGTGGGAGTCAGGCACACCTGGCTTCACAAAGAGCGTGCGCACAACTCTGTTGCCGAGAGGGGCTATGTGATTTTAGGTTGATGAACACGCCACAAACCTCGTGCTAGATCTGAGTTCCCAGTTTAAAATCTCTTTCTCTTGACCCCCTTGCCTTTGAGAGCTGCATCCGTCGCAGGAGTGACTGCATAAGGAGTAGTACACAGATTTGCCTTGAAAGGTAAGCAGACTGAACGCGGGGAGTTTTGCCCTTCTTTTTTTAGGGAATAAGTTGCAGCCAAACAAAAACCCTTTGTACAGGTCAGCACAGTGTGGAGGTTGCATAAAGTAGCACCTGGCACTGTGTGCGTTTGGATTTCTATGAACAAGTCGTGATTTTAACCGTAAGCCTTAATTTTAGCCAATTTAATTAGAAAAGCTCTAATGATGACTTTGTTCCAAGTTCCAGTTTAGAGTAGTTTGGGGCTACCTAAATTAAAATTTGTGATGTGAGCTACCCACTTCATACCCTTCAAGTTAGAGTGAGTTTAATATGTCTCCTCTGGTGAGGTTGTGGGCTGGTTCCAGAGGGGCTTGAAGGCGGCTGGCTGTGGGAAGGATGTGGAGGGAAGCTCTCAGTGAGTATTCTGCAAGCCGGTCACCAGTGTGCCCTGACTGTAAGCAGAGACCTGACCGTCAGAGGTCATGCAGAGGTCATCCTAAAAACAGTTTGCTGTAGTGGCTCCCAAAGGCACCTCTCTCTGCTCCCAACCCTCCCGAGAGCTACCTTAAAACCGGCTCTTTGCTAATCCACATCAGGTGGATTAATTTGCTCATCCAGGCCAGCAACCCAATAGCCCAGTGGTTCGCAACCTTGGCCGCACATTAGAATCACCTGGGAATCTTTTTAAAATCCTGGTTTCTGGGCCTCATCCTCCGGAAATTCTGTTTCTTTGTTACTAATGCTGTGGCCTCACCCCATAACAAAGAAACAGAATTTCCGGAGGATGAGGCCCAGAAACCAGGATTTTAAAAAGATTCCCAGGTGATTCTAATGTGCGGCCAAGGTTGAGAACCACTGCAATAGCCTGGGCTGGGCCTCCAGATACCAACAATCTTAGAATTGCTAGAAATCCTCTTTTTCTCAAAATCAAGTGATAATAGCAAAAATATTATGACGATTTGCCTTCTAAACATGGACAGAGACTAAATTTGGGATGGGTGAACATCGTCATTCTATCAAGTTGTCTAAATTGTGTGTTATTTACTGAGCTTTGGGGTAAATGGTGTTTTCCTTGAAACCAGATTTCTCAATAATGATAGAGTATTTCTGTCCACCAGGACTAAATTTAGGATTCTGCTGTATTTCTCCTTGGTGATTGATTTTTATTTAGTCACTGAACTAGAAATGGTCCTGGAGGAAAATCAAAGAGCAAATCATACAGAATCTTATTTGAACATCCATCACCCGCTGACAGAGCCGTCTTCAGGGGAAGGGATTGCACCGCGTCACCGCGGTGCTGCGTGCCGGGCCTGGGAATATGGTCCCACTGCTGTGCGCTGAGAGGACCCAAGTGTTGTATAAAGGTGCCCACAAATTATGGACACTACCCCTCCCCACTCCTCCCAGAACCGGACTTTGGAGGTGAGAATGTGCCTCCCTCTGTTACACACACCTCTCAGGTTACTGCACCGTTACAACTTCTCCAAAGCTGGAGTGAAAACTTGGGTCATGCGGCTGCTAGACACGGGTAGACTTGAGGCTCTTGTGAGATTATTAGGAATTCAGGCTCTGAACCGGAATGCTGGTTCAAATCCAAGTGATGCCACCTCATAGCTTTGTAATTTCTTTGAACAATAACTTCTTCTCATGTGAAATGGAGCTAAAAATAGACCTACCTCACAGGATCGTGGTGAGGCCAATATGGGATAAGTGCTCAAGAAGCACTTGGCACAATACCTGGAAAATCCTGATGCCTCAAGAAATATTAAATCATTATCATCATCAGTATCTCCTCCCCCCTTTTTAAAATCACAGTTTCATAGTTTACCTCTCAGGGCTGTACCTTTGGTTCAAGGAAATGTCTTGTCTTCATGGAAAATGGATGTCAAGCCTTTTCCGGTAACTGTAATCCTCTCCTCGCCAGCTCCCACAGGTCTTCAAAGTTGTCCTTAAACTTTTCCCACCTTGACTTACTTCCAGAGGCAGAGAGATGGGTGGGAGTGGCTCTGGTTTATCCCACTCCACCCATCTCCCGGGGAAGCCTTCGTCCTTGTGTCACAATGCTTACACTCAGTGTGAGCCCCTTTCTCGGACTTTGTCTCTTATAATAAGCAAAGACCTACTATGTTCCACTCTGATCACACTTATGAGGATGGAGAGGTTGAATAATAGGACCTGATGGAGAGGCATGTCTGAGGTCATGTCTGTTGTTACAATACGATTTCAACTCAGAGCAAAGAGTAGTTCAATGGCTTCTCCTTGTTGCCAATGCACCCACTGAGGAAATGAAACCAGCTCTGAAATGCATCCAGGCCCATCAGGCCAAACAGGACGTGTGCCCACTGGAGGCTTGGCCTGTTTAAACAGGCAGGTGACTTCCAGCTGGCAGCACACACAGCTGCCCTGGACAACCCGGACAGTGAGGACACCGGGAGGCCAGTGCTCCCTCTCACCAGGGCTGCACATGCCTGCACTAGCCGCCCCTCCCCACATGCTGTCATGCTTTTACTTCCATAGGCACCTCTCAAAACCCAATTGAAATGTAGGAAGTTTGAGAAGCTAAAGACATTTTCCAAAATAAAAAATGATCTTACCCCACATGCCACTGCTTCTTTGAAGGACATCTGGAATGTATTTGTACCACCTCCCCTGCCCCTTCCCACAATGTTCCTGTCTCAAAGACAGAGAGAATCTCTGACATACAGACCCCCACCCGAAGCAGCAGCACCACACACACACACTCCTTACTTAGCTTTGCAAAGCCCCTTGCTTCTTGGAAGCTTTCTTTCATTGTGAAATAGCCCCTCCAAAAAGGCTCGTCATCTTCCTTTTTGTCCAGAGGGATGCTTTGTCCAGCTGGAACCCACCTGGACTGCCATCCCTTCCCCTCTGTACCCTCGGCTTCCCTCATAATTGTGGAAAGTACCTAGGATTTCTGGTTTATGGATTAGGTGTGTCTCATGATCTCAGTATTTTCCTTAAATATCAAGCTATGCAGAGTACCCATAGACTTAGCCCACAACATCACATGGTGCCAGCTTCATTCAAAGTGCTTTATGAGAGTCATTTAATTCTGTTAAGAACCCTGGAATATAGGTCTTCATCAGCCTTTTAGAAATGAAGATACTGAGGCCCAGAGAGGTCACTTAACTTGCCCAAGGCTGGCTCCAGAATCTGTGGTCTTAATCATCATATCATACAGAGAGGAAACTGGTTTGGGGTAAATGGTTGCCCAAGCTCTCTTATCTATGTAAAGGATTTGACATTGGACTTAACTCAGATCTCCATGATTTCCAGTCCAGTAATCATAACAATAGTTGCAATCCTCCCTGGTCCTGACCAATCAAAGCGTCTCACCCATAAGGTCATTTGAGGGTGTTTTTATTATATACTTGACATATAATATTATGTTAGTTTCAGATGTACAACATAATGATCTGATATTGGTATATATTGTGAAATGACCACCGCAATATGTCTAGTTAATATCCATCACTTCACATAGTTACATATTTTTCTTGTAATAAGAACTTTTAAAACATACTCTCAGCAACTTTCAAATATATGAAACAGCATTATTAACAATAGTCACCATGCTGTGCATTACATCTCCTGACTTACTTACTTTATAACTAGAAGTTTGTACCTTTTGACCACCTTCACCCATTTCTTTCCACCCTACCCCCACTCCTCTGACAACTACCTCTCTGTTCTCTGTATCCATGAGTTCAGTTTTGTTTTTGTTTTTTTCTCTCTGACTTATGTAGCTTAGCATAATGGCCTCAAGATAGATCCATTTTGTTGCAAATGGCAAGATTTCCTTCTGTTTACAGCTGAATAGGATTACAT